AAGTATTAATTTTTATATATAAATTACTAAATTTGTAATAATTAAAATTGTAATTTTTAATATAAACTAAAAAGTTATATTAAAAACTATATATTTAAAATTAAAATTTAAAAAGTTTATTATAGATAAACTAAAAAGTTTTTTTACTATAAAATTTTTTTAAAATTATATATTTTTGGTTTATAAGTAATTTAAATTTTTTTTCTTATAATTTAAAAATAAATATTACAAAAAAATAATTCTTATTTTCAAATATTATTATACTAAATTTTATTTATATATTTTAGCAATTTAAAAAAGTAGATCAGAGCTAAAAAAATACAAAAACACTAACAAATTTGCCTGTGTTAACCTACAATCTGAGAGATAAAAAACCTTACAAGATTCTAATTGTAATAACTAATTTAAAACTATTAAATTTAGTAGAAAAATGTTTAATTTTAAATCTTATACAATCTTTTTTTGTAAAACATTCTTTTTATATAAATATTGCATTTTTTTGTTTTGTAAAAAAAGAAGTTTTTGTTAATAAAATAAATTTTATTAACAAATTATAATAATATTAATAATAAAAATAACATTTTTTCTTCTGTTTCTTTTGCAAAACTTATACTTATTTGTAAATTTTCTAATTTTTTTAATATAAATTGTTTATATTAAAACTTTATATATAATATAATATAATTTTTAATTAAAATTATAAAATTTTTATATTAAAATTTTCATATAATAAAGTTATTAAGATTTATTTATATTTAATTTTAAAAATTAAAAATCTTTAACATAAATAGAAAATTGCTATTGCTACCTTTTATTTTAATTTGATTGGCCTTCAACATTTCTAACCCTAATTATTGATTAGAGTTAAACTATATAAGGGGTGAATAGAAGGTTAAAATAGCAATATTCTATAGATAACCTCTTTACTAAAATGCATTATTATTAGTTTATTATAAAATAAAATTATCTATTGACAAAGATTGTAAAACCTTTTAAGTATACAATTTTGATAATATATCAAAATAGTTATTAAAAATAATTGCTTCATAACTTTAGCATTATTTAATCGAGAAATTTGAAAATAATTTATTAAAGAACGTGAATTTGAAATTTATAATTAATTGATATGATTTTTATTACGAATGATCTGACGTTTTAGGTAACATATTACGTATTTTGATATACTATCATGTGTTACGTAACTGAGAATATCAACTATACATCGTTATTATCTACGGTTAAAATCAACTTAATTATAGTAGTGATTGTCTTAAGATTTTAGTCTAATAAAAAAACGGTATGAATGTCCATAACACTTATCGATATATATATGCGTATGTACTTATGTATGTGCGTATGCATAATTTTAAATAAATTGATTAAATTGATAAAATTGATAAAATTGATTAGCATTTCCGAATATATAAAATTATTGTAAATTACGATAATAAATAAAAACAATTAATTACATACCAAAAAATACAGTATCTTATTTTACATATATTACAGGGATTTCTTAATTAGTGTATGATAACTTTTTTTTCTGGTGAAACGACTTCTTTCATTTATAACCGAGCTTATCCCTACTTCCAGAAAAAAGAATAAGAATAAACGGATAAAATCGTCAAACGAAAGAAACTTAAAATAGAATAGTCCGATAGTAGGTTAAATATCATTTTTAATGTCGTGGATAATATATAAAGACCTCAAAGCCCATGAATCAGACATGTTTTCAGCTAAGTGGAATAAACAAAGGCGTAACAATAACAATTCACAAATCAAAATATATCTACATACAATTAATTACGCAATCCGCTTTTATCGATAAAGTGTAATAGAAACAAAAAGTAAATTGTTCTTCTTGACTTGTGTCCACTAAAACTTACGTAATATTTGATATTTTTTTTTTCCTTTTCTGTAGAAATTATTGATAGCTGATAACAGGATAATATTATTTCGTCTGAACAATATAGTTAAGGTTATATCAAATGACAATATTATATTTTTTTTAGGAAACAAAAAAAATCATAAATAATTAAAATTAAGAACTTCAAAACCACGGTTAATATTCTTTTCACGGTTCGTACGTAAATAAATTGTATGTACGGATTTTTGGATAAAATTACTAAAGAAAAATTATTATTACCGTCATTTAATTTATAATGAGTCTTTGGCAAAAAACTTACAGCTCTCAGTTAGTTAACTCGCCTGACAAAAATTCTAATATACATCACGATTTAGAAATATTAAATAATACTTCTCTTAATCTTGTCCGACCAGAAACACCAGTTAATTCTCAAACCGCTGACAAAATTACTCCTAGAGAGAAAATAAGAAATTTATTACTTTGTATCAATTCGAATGATTATTCACCCTCATTACATGCTAAACGATCATTAGAGGATAGTTCGATAAATGTACATAACGAAGTCAAAAAACCACTGTCTGATCCGCCTAAATGTAGTTCAGAAGAAACTAAAGCCAAAAGAACTAGTAAAGTCAAATTTGCTATAGACTTAGATCATATATCGGATAAAAAAGAAGGAAAAACTGATGGCATAATAAATGATGGTAATAATAATGAAAATGTTGAGTCACCAAAGTTGCTTTCAAAAAATTCGAAAGCTTATCGACGCCAATCTGCTCCTGCTCATGGAATGCCGTTTGTTTACTTTTCGAAATCGGCAACCACATCCATACATTACTTTGGGCATTCTGAACAGGACGAACATAAAGTGCATGATTCAGATAATCAGAGCTCTAAAATACCAACAGTTGTCACTAAACGTCTTGAGTCGATTAGTGATAAATCCAATTTAACATCTCCATCATTGTCACCATGTTCATCCATATCTTCCTCCTGTTCTTCAACTGTGTCAAGTCCTGCGCAGCCAGCGCAAACACAACAATACCAATACGATAGAAAAACATTACAGACTTTTAATCCACCATTTCAACCTGGAACATTTATACCCCAGCCAGTACCTACACATATTACCACGAGATCAAGATCAAGAAGTATTTCTACTGGAAAACCTATTCAAGTTAGTGGTTCGTTGCCTGTTATAGTTTCTGCAGCATCCTACCAAAATCTTCCTTGGTCACCTGCAGTAAACTTTTTAGCTAATTTGGCACAGTCTACAGTATCTCAACCAATGCCTTATGATGAAGGACAACTAATTAAGGATTTTATTATTGGTAAAGTGATTGGTCGTGGTGGATTCTCTACGGTAAAAGAAGCTATTAGGATGGATAGTGATGGTGATATGGAAAAATTAGCCGTCAAAATTGTACGCAAAAATCAAGAATCAGATTGTAATGATCGTATTCAGGTAAATTATTGTAAAATTTTCAATATAAAATTAATAAAGAACTTAATTAAAATTATAATGCTTTTAAATTTACAGGCACTTTTAGACAGAGAAATCAGTATATGGCGTGAGCTCATTCATCCTAATATTGTACCGATGATTATGTATGAAGAGGACGAGTACGCTACTTATGTATTTTCTGAATATTGCTCAGGAGGCACTCTTTTGAATTATATAAAGAAAAATTGTAGAGGTGAAAACAAAGGATTAGAAGAAGATGAAATACGTATTATCTTTCTGGAAATTGCAGAAGGTTTACGATACTTACATAATGACATGAAATTAGTACATAAAGATATAAAATTGGATAATATATTATTGGATAGGGAAGGTACATGGAAAATTTGTGACTTTGGTTTGACAGAATTTCAAAATGAAGAAAATGGTTTTGGAGAACTTTCTGATGAGGAAGCTGGTGGATCTATTGCTTATTGTGCACCAGAACAAGCACGTAGCAAAACTTCTATAAAGAATCCGGCAGTCGATATATGGAGCTTAGGTGTTGTGCTTTATGCACTTGTGACGAATAAATTACCTTTTATGGATGATTTCATACCTCGTTTACAATATAAAATTATAAATGGACGTTACGACGAGATGGCACTTTACGAATCCGGTTGTAGTGATGATTTAAGAGATTTGTTGAAAAAAATGTTTAAGACGAACTTCACTCAACGATTAACTATAAATGAAGTCTTGAAACATCGATGGTGTCAATGATGGAGTGCAAAGGATTTATTGATTGTTTATGTCTGATTTACCTTTTTATGTAAAAATTCTTTTGAACATTGAACATCCTTCGTTTCGATAAAGAAACGAATAATTCAAGATATATATATATTTTAATAATTTTTTTTTACCAACATGTTCTATGATATTATATATTCATATAACTTTCCGCTCATTTGTAAATTTCCTTTTACCACCTTTTATTGTATTAATGTATTATTTAAGATCGAATATTTTCTATTATTTAAGATGATCGGTAATTGATAATAAAATTCATTCTAAGTAAACTCTAGTGTACTATAGAATTAAAAAAAAACCACAAATGCCCTTAGTTTGCACATAGCATTTGAATGCTATATAAGAAGTGAATTGATTTTATATTGTTAAGTGTTACCACAAAACTATTAGGTTTTGGATTTGGGATTAGAATTTGAGACAACTTCATAATGTTTGGGGATTTATAGTTTGGGCAATAAGGTATCATTGATAAACAGTGTTATTAAATATGTATGGTCATTTGCCTTTCTAAAATGATTTGTAAAGTCATTTGGGGTCGTTTGAATTTATTATTTAAATTTCATATGTAAAAGTCATTTCAGGTTATTCAAAAGGATTTTTTAACAAAACGGCTGATAAATATCACGTGCCAGTATGGACTTGTAACGTTAGGACAAGGTATGGCTTAAAATTTAGCATTAAAAATCGATTTACAAGTTATATCTTATTGGTCGATCAGGGGGCAGTATCACACCTGATATGGACAACAAATATAGACATTGTATATCGATATGTCTATATACAATATGATTTTTGCAAATTATTGAGCATCAAAAGATAAGAGATTTTTCCATTTTAAGTTACTTTAAATAAAAAAAGTTGGGTCTCATGGTTCGATTTGACTTACGTATTGTACACCTACAGCAGCAATATCAAAATTAAGTTGATTTAATTTAGATTTACTGTTATAAGGTTAAATCTTATTCTTTGAATAAATTATTATCCTATATGTCATACGTACGTGCGTAATGGCAGATGACCAAAGCGGCCGCAGCTTGATTCTGACGATCGCTTACCAATCGCCTACCGGAAATGAGAATCCCGAAGCTCACTTATCGCATACGTACTTGAAGCGTGGGGTAATGTCATTTTTATAGTTGTATTATTTGTAATAGATTATTTTCTTTAGGAAATGAGCATTCACAAAGTTGAGACTGAATAGGATAGCCGATACTGTAGGTGTCTTAAACATATTGAAACTAGTGACAAAACTTCAGCCGTTGACTGATTAACCGATCAACGATGCGACAGTTGAATATCATAACTATACATATTTTCAATAAAAATGTTATAGTTGGAGCTAGATTGTGAAGATATGCGTATGGCATTTAATTAAGTTATAACAGTAAAGACTCACTTCATGCAGTGAGAAAAATTCATGTTGAAAATTCTTTTCTCGCACCTAATAATTTTATTAAGATAAAATAAATGTAGAATAGAAATGTGCGCATTTAAATTTTGTATTTCGGATTATGCTGAGGTTTTGTGTCTCTATTAAATATGTAATAGATATTCCACGGGCTGTTGTGAATATCATGAATTAGCACGGCGAAGCCGTGGTAATGCATGATGTCACGGC